TTTAGTTAAAAAAATGTTTATTATTTATTAAAAAATTTTTTTAATGTTAATTTATTTTTGAGACACAGAGAGACAGAGCATGAGTGGGGGAGGGGCAGAGAGAGAGGGAGACACAGAATCCAAAGCAGGTTCCAGGCTCTGAGCTGCCAGCACAGAGCCTGATGCAGGGCTCAAACTCACAAACAGTGAGATCATGACCTGAGCCAAAGTTGATGCTTAACTGAGCCACTCAGGTGCCCCTGAAAATGTTTATTTTTGAGAGAGAGACAGAGAGAGTGTGAGCGGGGGAGGGGCAGAGAGAGAGGAAGACACAGAAACTGAAGAGGCTCCAGGCTCTGAGCTGTCAGCACAGAGCCTGATGCTGGGGCTTGAACTCACGAACTATGAGTTTGTGACCTGAGCTGAAGTCGACTGTTAACCAACCGAACCACCCAGGCGCCCCTCAGCCACGTTTGTGTTACCCAGCCCATGACCAAGGTCTGAAGGTACATTCCACGATGCCCAGTGAGGAGCAGGGCAACTCTTGTAGAGTAGGGGCTGTGCTTTTCCATCCCTGCCCCATTCCATCCTATGGGTGGAGCAGTGGGGTCCTGCCTCCTGGCCTCCAGCGCTTACTCAGAAGGCCCTGGTCTCTTGGTATTTAGGACACATACCCCCTGTCCATTGGTCCAGGCCTGGTGTGGCACGTGGACCTCAGTGGGGGAGATTCTAACAAAGCCTGCCAGCTGCTCATGATGGGGAAATGGGGATCAGGACCCAGGAGACCAGTTTTCCTCCCTCCCAGCATGTAACAGTTGTGGTGGTGGGGTACGGCCTACAGAGCTGTGGCCTCTGTTGTCTGGGGCAGGATGCCTCCTCTGGCAGGATGGGCTGACCAGCGCCATCCTTACTCCCATTGGGCCTAGCTCCCCCTCTTCCTCCAGCCAAGAGCACTGGATGCTAGAAGACTATTAGGCTGGGGGTCTTGGGGACAGGGTAGGGAAGTCCCTCTTGAAGTCAAACCCCCTCACTTTATAATGCTGAGCCCTTCCTGGACTCTGATCCCCTCTCTTGCTACCCAACCTGTCTTCTTTGTAGGCTCCATCCTCTGCCCACCTGCTTTGCGGTGCCTGCTTGGGGGGCCCCTACCCCCCTCACCCAGCTTCAGGGACCACAGGTCTCTACTCCTAGATACCTTCCATATCTTGCTTCCAATCCTGACCCCCTCTAAGGTCCTGGACACCTTCCTAGGGTGACCCTCAGGCCCACTAAGCTCATACCATCTCCTCTCGGAATGAGCCCATCCGTCTTGGAATCCCTGCTGCCTATATCTCATCTGTGCTATCACTCAAACCACCTACTGTTCATCTCCAGCCCAGGCTCTGTCCCTCCCTCAGGCTCTTGTGTCCTCTCTCGCCCTTTGTCATCTATTCTCCAAATGTGGATCTCATCCTGAGGCTACCTCCTGCCCTGAAGCACTTTAGCAGCTTCCCATGGCTCTGCATATAAAAGGCAAGTCTTTCTTGCCTTCCCGAGGGGTGCACTTGCGCTCACTTCCATCCTGGGGCCTCTTCTCAGCCTAAACAACAAACGCCTCTACCCTGACCCCAACTCCCAGGATGGGTGAGGCCCCTGATTCACAATCCTGCCATGTTCTTTTGTAGAGGACATTACTGTGTGACACACATGACACAACACTTGTTATTACTGTTAACTGAGCATCTACTAGGGTGCAAGCTTAGCACCTGGCCTGGATGAGAGGGTATGAGGCCTAGGGACGGCCCCTGGGGCCACACCTTGAGGGGTGAGCCTTGGGCAATCACTTCACGGCCCTTTTCCTTACCCTGTGGCCTGTGACCTTCCCAGGGACCCCAGACCTTTCTTAGAGTGAAGGGCTCCACTGAGGCCACTGCCCTTCATGGGGGATGAGGCGAGCGCAGGGTATGGGAATAACCAGAATCAGGCCTCTTGCCTCAGAAAAGCCACAGGGTTGATGGGGCTACAAACACCAAACTGCACCAGTTGAAGTCTCCAATTGGGCCACAGCCTTGAGGGGCTGTCCTCTCCTGCAGCCACCTTCCCTGCTGGCCAGGGGTGCCAGCTCCTTTACCCTCTCAGGGCTCAGCTCTGTCTCTGGGCTTCACAGGCCAGAGGCTTGTGAAGCCAGAGGCTTCACAGGCTGCAGGCCCTCTGGCTCCCTAGCTGAGCAGCCAAGGTGAGGGGGGCCTGGTGAGGGAGACCCAGGGTTGGGGGGTTGCCTAGCCCCTAGCTTCCTTGAATCCATGGAGTCCCATAGGCTCGAAGGCCCAGGTCAGCCTGCTGACTCGTGAATAACGGAGTTGCAAGAGCCACGGCGAAAGGATTACTTTTAATCCTCGGTAACGATCAAGCCATTATTATTTTTTCAGTGTTACAGATCAATCAGTCCATCCCCGGGCGCTGGACGTGTGGAAACTGCTAAACACACAGGCCTGGTGGTTCAGTAGGAAGGGCTGAGGCAGC